AATCCCACATCTAATGGATATTAAGTCTCAGTTCAAAATGTTCAGTTAAAGAACGAAAGTACAACTGTATTTAAAATTGATGTTTTATCGTCAAATAATTCCATTTAAAAGTAACTCTTTCAGGAAAAAATATTTCTGGCTGTTGCAGACTTAATTTCTGACGGAAACTACTAATTAATTAATTAACGAAGTAATTAGCTTACTGTAATTGATTGGTCTGTTTTGACAGTTACGGTGAATCAAACTGTGATTCGACTGAATAAAAACGTAACTTCAAAAAAGCGGCAGAGTGTTTATAACTTTTGGTCTTCTAATGCCGAAATTTAATTCACTGTTTCAATTTAAACCAATATTTGCAGTCTATTCGTCTGATTCGAAGCCAAACTTTGGACCAGTGTTTCGCAAATTGAGTCGAGGCCGGCATGATTTTTTCATAGCTGTTTAAGTTCCCTTCTGTGTGTTATGGCAGGCACTGATGTAGATGCTAAGGAATTAATAAAAAAAGAAGCAGAAGTAAGTTTACTTTATATCATGTGAGTGTCATTAACAGCAATGATCTAGCATTACGTGTATTACGTCTAGGGACTTTCTGTATGTCACATAAACATAATTCACTTATTCTTTTTCTATCAGTTAATTGTTCAGTAATTTAACTGTATGAAAGTGGTGGACAAATATAATTCCTGGACCTAACATTTAACCACATCTAAGACTTCTTCTAATGTAGTTGCTGTTATTAATAATTGAATTGCTAGATAAGGTGGATGAATTACATTCTTGTATGATAGCAATATGATAAATATTTAGACTGACTTGTTAATTTTTGCAGTATCAGATTATATGCAAACCATTTTATTATTCAGAACAAAAGTGAAGTTTCGAGTTCAGCAGCTCAAGTTGCCAGTCATTATAATGCAATACCACAGAAGGGTGTTGCTGAAAGAACAAGCAGCCGGATATTTTATCTTCGGAATTTTAACAATTGGATCAAAAGCATGCTGATTGGTTAATCTTTAAATAGTTCCGATTTGTGATAAAAAGGATTATTAATAATAGGGTTGTAAAAGTTTGTAAAAGTGATACACAGTTCAAAAAAATTCCTTACCGAATAAATTTTTCCTTTTCATTGAAAATTTTCAGCTGAATTCTTAGAAAGATTGCAAACGGAAGGTTGCCCAAAAGCAATCGTACTTGATTTGTGCTGTGGAAAAGGTGGTGATTTTTTGAAATGGCGTATTGGAAATGTTGCTCATGTCGTTGCAACAGGTAACTTCATGCTTTATTAGATGTAGATATGTACGATATGTTTGGATTCATGAATTTCGAAGGAAGCCGAAAAATTGATGTCAAGCAATGGTTAAATTCCCAAGAAAACAAAGTGACAAAATTTTTACCTTTTAATTATATATTTCCATTTTGTTCATTGAGTATTTTGCCAAATAATTTTTTAAAGATCTAATAAGGTAGTACTTGTTTTGTAACTCAACAGTTGTTTTATCTATGTTCTAGTGATTTTAACTAATTTTTATATCATTCTTCATCATTTTTCTAATTAGTTTATTTCCAAAACAATAGTGAAGTTACTTGTCATATGTTGGCGTATTGTGCACTGTGAACTAAACGATTAAATGTTGAGTTTAAATTTCTAGACATAGCAAGTGTTTCATTGGAACAATGTGAAAAGCGATATAAAGATATGAAAGCACGAGAAAATCCAAGACGGCCATTATTTAGTGCCGAATTTATTGTTGCAGATGCTACAGAAGTAATTTTTCGTGTCTTACCTTATTTGTGGCTTCTTCTTTAGCACCGGCTAAAAAAAAAAAGTTTTTTCCTAAATACGCTCTGAATTTCAAAGAAAAGAAGGTTAGATTTTAATGAGTTCTCTGCTTTTTCTATTTTCTTATGGAAAAAATTTTCAGGATCGCTTGGTAGACCACTACTGTGACCGTTTTATAAAGTTCGATGTGTGCAGTTGCCAGTTTTCACTTCATTATTGTTTTGAAAGTGAAAAGCAAGCACGGCGAATGATACAAAATGCTGTGGAAAGGTTAAAACCAGGCGGTTATTTTATTGGGACCTTACCAGATGCCGAAAGAATTATGTGAATTTTTATTTATTGCCGTGTTAGTGACTGAAGCACTGTATTCAAAAAATAAGATCTTGGAAGTTAAGGACGTTCCGAAAATATTTTGCCAGAGGCACTGTCGGAATATAACTTTCTGCGAGATTTTGGAGCAATATTTAAAATTGGTTGAAAGTAGTTCTTTTCTTATATTTTTATAATTCTTTATAGATATGATTGCTTGCATGATTACCCTTCTTCGCCGTTCTTAAGAGCTTTCGAGTGAATAAAGATTAGATGCTAATCCCGGTGCACTTCCTAAACAAAGGATGTGACAAGCCTTGTTTCCTGTTAGTCTGAACCGTTTATCTCATCTTAGTCCAATTCGTTATCCTATTTAAATTTAATGGTAAATGGAAAAGTCCATTTCTGAAACTTCTCACTATCCTTGTTTTTCTATTGATCCCACAAACTAAGCTATTGGTAGAAGTAAGATTGGTTAGAAGGACAAGTGGCTTTTAAACTATTACAAAAACAAATTAGGTAATATTCCAAGTTACAATGAATAGAAGGCTGGAGTTACAGATGAAATAGAAAGAATGCAAGCTAATGAAAATCCTTAGATGTCGAATTGTTCGATTGGTAGCGAAACTACCTCGTTTTTAAGATATTGTATTAAAAATTCCAAAGATGGAACATATACCAATGGTATTTTACGTTTGATGTATGGAGATGTTGAAGCGTTCAAAGATAGCAGTGTCCGTCCACCTATTTTTGGAGCATTAATTCATTTCTCACTTGATACGCAGGTGAGTTTGAATATTTTTGATGTTTGATTGAGTTAAGTTTGAAATTCTCTAGAACAATTCCAAATTCTCGAACCTGCTCTATCTGCTGTTCTTGTTACTGAAAATCACTTCGTCATCCTCCGTGGATATATAGATTTTAAAACTTTTTTTAGAAATTTCTCATGTTGTTAGGAAAAGAGAATTCAAATTTCACTTTTCATTATAGGTCAATTGTCCAGAATACCTCGTTCATTTTCCCGTCCTTGAAAGGTGAGATTCAACTCTTTATTTCTAGTCATATTCATTTTGTAAAAATAGACTGCTTATGCTTAGTCTGAAGTTCATAATTATGCTTCAAATCAACTAGGGTTGAAAAATAGTATCATTTCAAAGAAATGTTGAAATTATATAATGGAAGCAGATCTCTAGTTGAAGATTGCTTGCTGATTGTGGATTGAAATTGGTTTACAAAAAACGTTTTCCGGATGCATTTGAATATTACATGAATGAAAGGAATGGACGAGCACTGTTAGCTCGAATGCAAGCATTAGAACCTTTTCCACCTGTTGATGATGTTAAGTAAGGATTTAATTCATTGAGATTTTTTGCGACTCTACATTCTTTTCTTGAAAAATTTTGAAGTCCTTGGAATTTTTTTTGAAATTTTGCATTGCACCATGACACATGAAGTAAAGTACTATTTGGCAATTTTTTTTAGTGGAGTTTGCAAAGAAATATGTGTGTAACAAAATATTTTCTACAAGCTTACTTTAAGTAAATTAATCTCCGTTAAGCTTTTGACGACTCATGCTTTTCAGATTGATGGGACCAACGGAAAGTTATAAATTCGCAGAAAAAAAACTAACGGAAATCATGAGAGAACATTCAGAAGCAGGGAGCATTGGAATGGTTACTTTTTTCCATTTGAGTTGTTTGCCTTCTTAGATGATAATCAGCTTCTTGGCGATGATACCAGATGTTTTTCTTACATGCTGAGATAATTTTTAGCTATATTACTTGTCCACTTCTCCATGAATTTTCCTGCACTTATTTTGCCATATTTTTGGAATATTCTTTCAAATTGTATGGAAAATTTGTAAGAGTTTTCAGGGGACATTATCACAAGATGAATGGGAAGTTGCGTCGATGTACCTCGTTTTTGCTTTTCAACGGGAAAAAAGTATATGAATCTATTAGAAAGAAAAATGATTTTATAAAGTGCTTCGATAGATAACTCAACTTTATTTGATATTTGATTTTTCAACATTTTGGATTCTCTCACTTAGCATCCTATCCATTTCGATAGATTTAGAAAAACATGACTTTTCAGTTATCTAGAATTATCATAGCTTATTGAAATGCGAAAATGGATCATCTAAAATCATTATATCTGCTGGCGGACTTTGACCGATCTTCATCCAGAAGAGTGATGTTAAGTTATTGCAGAAGTGAAGTTAGTTTTAGAAATGAGACATTTGAAATGATGATAACTTTGACTTATTGTTTATCACAATTTCAAAAATTTATAATTCTTCTCTGTTTGTGCTACTGATACAGGCAGTCTTCATATTATTTCATTCCTATCTTCTACATCTATCTTTTTTTGTTCACGAAATCCTACCGATTTCGAATCAACCGCTGGATTAGAATAAATCGTTCAACGGTGACATTGTACCTTTCGAGGAATTGTTTGTTTGCTTATTCATGGACTGTAGTGTGCCGTAGCGTTAATGAAAAATACGCAATATTAAATGTTTGGATGTTCCTTATGTAATATACTGAAATAATATTTTGAGGCTGGTTTAACATTAAGCATATTGGTCACATGTCACAATAAAAATAGTCTAAAGTCAAAAGATTTAACGATTATCAGCTAGTTCAATCAGAAAAAATATGCCGAAAATTTTAATCTTTCCTCACATAAGTTTGTGTATATTAAGTCAGGTGTATTTTTTTCCAGAAAAAGCCTGTGGATAAATTTTATGAAAGTTGATTAAACCATGAAATCAAAAAAATAAAAAATGAGAAATTTTGGTCCCTCGTTGAAGACTGTACATCTTTAAATTATTGCATCTAGGATGTTTGCACGCATCTTCCCCCCTTTTAATTCTTTCACTATCATCATTTATATATCGTCACGCAATTCATGCGCAAATATGGAATATCTAGCTGTTGTTGTTGTTGTTATTATTGTTGTTGCTATTGCTGTTGCTACTGCTGCTGCTACTGTTGTTCTTGATCTTGTTATTCTTGTTACTAGATATGAGAAATTAGAGCTCTACTATCGATCGAGTTATATTAATTTTAATCACATTTTCAGGTTTAATAAAGCTTCCCTGTTTCAAGAGCACTTGTCAGTTTGTTTATGCATATGTGTATATCTATATATTCATATATTTATATATATACATATATACTTTTTCCCTTCTTTTTCTTGCATGTTATTGAATATCTGTCTGTCTGTTCATATACATAGTTTATATATTGTTATACAATATTGATGTATATGATGAAAAAAACGGAAGAGAAGGTAGAATAAGAACCGGATTTTGGATACTGCATTGAGTAGTTTTGAATACCTGAGATGTTAAGAAGGTAGTAAAGATGAAGGGGAAGGGTGGGAGGTGAGAAAAATTGATGTTAACTTACAGACAGATATCAATCAGTTCCTGATATGTTGTTTTCTTTTCAATTCCAAATTATTGTTCGCGTGACATGCAGAATGGTAAATATTAACTATGATTTCCATATGACTGATCAGGTTAATTATTCAAAAGAGCAGCTGATGATCAATATAGCGAGCATTCCATGATCTTTCTCATCATGCCAATTTTCATGCTAGCATCGATCATTATCAGTTGTTACAAATGAAACATATAAGGAAAGAAAAAAGAACAAAGTAAGATTGAAATTAATGATTAAATTGATGAGGAGAAGAGGAAAGTTTAGTATGTGAATAAAAATGAAATGATTGGTTGAGGGGGAAAAATTGATTTGATTAGGTTAACAAAGTATTAATTTTATTAAGGATTAATTTTACAAAAAAATACGGCAAGTTTATAATTATAAAATGTATGATTGCATGGGTGAATATCTGTGATAGTATTCTTCGTCTTTCGAGATTTGAACTGATAGCTTAATGGTACTTACGATGAGGATAAAATATAAAAATCATTTTCGGTGTCCGGTGCATCTTGTGTCTGTGTGTGTGTGGTTGGATTTCCATGTTTACAGTATTCCACATGCTATATCACAAATAAAAAGAATCGGAAATATTGAAAATATTAATAAAGAAGATACTCACAAATTAAATATTAACTCGATTAAAAGCTTTGAAAATCAATCAACAATTTGTTTGAATATGTGGTTTATGATTTAATTTGTAATTTTCCTACACATTTCAAATAGCTGAAAAATATATCGAATACTTATGTTATTAAATTTTAAAAAAAAAACAAATATTCATAAAGCTGAAAATTTAAATCTACCCAAAGATAAATTAATGTTGAAGTTTATGAAATAAATGTAAGACTGATTGATGCTACATTTTCCAAACATCTGGTAGCTGGAAACTTTATGATTTCCATTTTGATGCTTCTAATTAGATCAAAGAAAGTGATACTTCGTTTTACAATAGCTGCATTTTGCAAGCACCTTCCTAACCGCTCGTAATAATCTGATGGTAAAAACCAATGATCTATGTTGAAAACTATGTGATAAATACGATAACATATAATTTCAAAATGTTTATTCAGAATTAATTTACTAAACATCGCTTACTTAATAATATTT